GGAATAGGTTAGGTACACAAGACACAGTAGTCAATGACTAGAAATCTACTGTTTGATAAACCCAAAGACCCCAGCTTCTGGGATAAAAACTCACTATTTGACAAAAACTGCTAAGAAAACTAGAAAATAGTATGGCAGAAACTAGGCATAGACCAACATCTTACACCGTATGCCAAAATAAAGTCAAAGTGAGTACATGATTTAGATATAAAGGCTGATACTATAAGTAAACTGGGACAGCAAGGAATAGTTTACCTGTCAGATTTAGGGAGAACAGAAGAATTTATGACCAAACAAAATAGGGCACAGTATGAAATGCAAAATGGATAATTTTGATTACATTAAATTGAAAAGTTTTTGCACAAAGTCAATGCAACCAATATTAGAAGGGAAGCAGAAAATTGGGAGTTTTCACAACCAGTGTCTCTGATAAAGGCTTCATATCTAAAATATATAGAGAACTGAAACAAATTTGTAAGAATACAAGTCACTCTCCAATTGATAAATGGTCAAAGGATGTGAATAGGCAGTTTTCAGATGAAGAAATCAAAGCTATCTAAAGTCATATGAAAAAATGCTCTAAATCACTATTGATTAGAGAAATGCTTAGGTACTTAGGTACCACATCATGCCTATCAGATTGGCTAACATGACAAAACAGGAGAATTATAAATATTGGAGAAGATGTGGGAAAATTGGAACACTAATGAATTGTTGGTGGAGTTGTGAACTGATCCAACCATTTTGGAGAGCAATTTGGAACTATGCTCAAAGGGCATATACCACTTCTGGGACTGTATTCCAAAGAAATCATAAAAATGGGAGAAAGACCCCCATGTACAAAAATATTTATAGCAGCTCTTTTTGTGGTGGCCAAGAATTGGAAACTGAGGGGATTCCCATCAATTGGGGAAAGGCTGAACAAGTTGTGGTATATGAATGTAATGGAATACTGTTGTGGTGTAAGAAAAGATGAGCAAGCTAACCTCAGAAAAACCTAGAAGGACTTGTATGGATTGATATTGAGTGAAATGAGCAGGAGAACATTTTACACAGTAACAGTCACATTAAGGGATGACTGTCTTTGATAGACTTAGCCCTTCTCAGCAATGCAAGGATCTAAGACATCTCCAAAAAGCTCATGATGGAAAATTCTATCCACATCCAGAGAAAGAACTATGCAGTCTGAATGCAGATGGAAGCATAGTATTTGCTCTTTCTTTCTTTTTTTGTTTGTTTCTTCTTTCTCATGGTTCCTCTTATTCATACTAATTTTTCTTTATGACATGACTAAAGGGAAAATGTTTAATAAGAATGTACATGTAAAGCCTATATCAGAGGGGGAGAGGAAGGAGGGAGGGGGAGAAAATTTAAAACTCAAAAGCTTATGGAAGTGAATGTTGAAAACTAATAATAAATTAATTAATTTAAAAATTAAAAAAAAATATTTGCCAGTCTCTAATTCTGTGATCCTGGTTCCATTTCCCAGGATCATTAATAGATTGATGAAAGGGGTTCAGTGATCATAGCTACTAGTACTTTCAGGGTCTAAGGATATAGCTTATCTGGAACCACCAATATGAACTCATTAATAACTACTGGGTATTTTCTTATTATCTCCTTATTGTGAGCTGACAGTATTTCTTCTGGGAGTTCTAGTGAAAAATGGAAAACAATAAACTTAGCTTCTCTTGGCACTTTATGCCCAGTCTGAGCTTTAACATGGCTAACCTCAGTTTTACAGACTACATAATACTTATCCAGCCTATTTTCTGAGTTTCCTTCCACTTTGTGTGCATTTCTTTTAAAAATCCTAGTTGATTAGAAAGTTCCCTGTGCATCCACACAAATTTCTTGAGACAAGCTCCATCTTTCTGCCTCATTGAAAGCATTTTCCTTTCCATTTTCAGAATTTTATTCTTGAGCATTTCCCATCCTCACTGGGCTAACTTCTCTCCTAGCATACTAGACCACAAGAGCTTACTTATCTTTCTTCTGAAACCTTTGAAGTCTGATTTCCTGAAATCTCAGGAGCATATCCAACTGTAGCTTGGAGGGAAGGTTTCCTCTGCCCTCTCATTTTTAACCCAGAAACCAATTTTTTTCCCTCTCAATGAGAATCAGATCCAAAATAGTTTCCTTTCATTGGTCCTTTTACCTTTTGAAGGATTAAATTAGAATTAAGGCCAGCCAAGAAGTTATAAGCTCTTTTACTTTTGAGAGAGGTCTAGCAGATATCTGACTTTCTCCAATCTCCTCACCATGTATCTACCTCCTGGCTATATCCCCTCCTGGAAAGTTGGACTCTAAACTTGGCTCCCATAGTTTTGATAGATGAGTGTTTTTACCTTGTGGTACCGGTGCTCAGACCTCCATGTAACATTAGGCTAGAATCTTGGCTCACCACAGAACTTCTTTATATGTTGCCATCCTCTATGAAAATGCATGTTCCTTGAGGGCACAGTCTGCCTCAATTGCTGTATTTGTATCCTCACCACTT